TTTGTGTCCTGGCCTCTGTATGTCTTTTCCAATTTGCGGTTTATGGAATGGGAAAGCAGTATCAGATGGCCCATGGCCTTGGAACACGCACATGTAAGGAAGACTTGGAGAAAAGCTCCTGACTCCTGGTTTCAGATCAATTTATCCCTGGCTGCCACAGCCGCTTGGAGAGTGAACCAGAGAATGGAAGATCTTTCTGTCTCTCCTTCTCTCTGAAAACCTACCTTTCCAATAAATAAATAAATGAATGAATAAATAAATAAATAGTTATTTTTATTCCCTCCTCCAGGATAAGCAAAACACAAAATAAGTCCTGTTTTAACTGGTTAACTCTAACTTCAAAAATCAGTAAACAAAAATAGAGTAATGCAAGTCTCAAAGTAAAATCTAAAGTATGTATTACCATTTCCTAGATTCTTAACATACTGTTTACTACTTCAAGCTCACCTTTTGTTTCTATTCTTTTCTAAATACTGAGATCCCTGATCTTTACCAACTCCCAACCATCTACCAAATGACTATGGCTCCTGGTTTTTCTTCACCATACACATACACATAACCCAATAGATGTTTGAACTACCTTTCATTGCTCAGGTTCAACATCTATTCCCTTGATTAAATCCATAAGCCTTGAAATGGTGACAGGCCTGCTGTGGCTAATTTGTTTCACAAATTTCCTTAGTAAAATAATTATTACCTTATACAGTAACTGCACTTGTCCATTATGCACCTAGAATTTAATATCTTCTTTATGAATTGTTGGTGCTATTTTAAGAATCTGGGCCAGAGCTTACTCAATCTTTTTCAACATCCATGTGCTATGTCACTAAACAGTTGCTTAAGGCAGAATAGCCTTAACTCATGTGCTGTATTTTGCACTTTGGCTAAAAGCAAACTGCTTCACCGAAGAAAGAAATCCATGTACCTACAGCTGATTGATCTTTGGCAAATGAGTTGATATTACCCCATTGAGAATGGATAACCCATTTTACAAATGCTGCTGGGAAAACTGAACCTTCCCATGCAGAATTATGGAAAAGGACCTCTAATTTATATTCCATAGAAGAACAAGTTTCTAAAACTACAACTTGATTCTATAAAATTAGTAGAGGAAAACATTGGGGGAAATCTGTAAGACACTGAAATAAGCAGACTTCTTGGATAAGACCAAAGGACAGGCAACAAAAGCAGAAATAAAGAAATGAGATTATACTAAGCTAACAGACTCCTGTACAAAAAATCAGCACTCAAAAAAAAAAATGACAAGCCAACTGGCAGAATGGGATAAAATGTCTCCAAACCATGTATCTGATAAATGTAAATATTGGGTCCATAAGGAACTCAAGAAACTAAACAGCAGGTGTAGGCATTGTGGTTTGGCATCCTAGATTCTTCACTTCTGATCCATCCACCTGCTAATGGCCTGAGAAAAGCAGAGAGGATGGTCCAAGTATTTGAACTTTGTTGCTGATGTGGGATGGAGCTCCTGGCTTCTGGCTCCAGCCTGGATATTCTAGACATCAGGGCAGTGAACCAGTATATGGAAGAATCTCTCCCACTCGCTCTCTCTCTCTCTCTCAACTGTGACTTGTAAATTAATAAATGTGTCTTTAAGAAAGAAGAAAGAAAACCAATAGCAATTAAACAAACAATTCAGTGAATAAATGGACAAATGACATGAGTAATAATCATTCAAAGGATAAAGTACAAATTGCCAACAGACCATGAAAAAATGTTCATGATCACTATCTATTAAGAAAATACAAACACAAATAAAAATAAAAAATAGAGACCACAACTAAGCTTTCCCTCACCCCAGTTAAAATCAAGAGACCAGAAAACAATAAATTCTAGAGAGGATATAGTGAAAAAAGCATTCTAATAAATTGTTGATGAAAATGTAAACTAGTGCAACCATTTTGGACGACAGAATGGCAATTCCTCAGAAATCTAAAAATAAATCTACCATATGACATGGCCATCCCATGCCTGGGATTTACCCAAACAAAATAGGCATAGGAAGAAGTGACTTGCAGCCTTATGCTTATAGCCAAGATACCAGATCAACCCAGATTTCCATTACTGATGACTGACTAAAATAATGGGTATAGGAAAATAGATAAATAATGGAATATTACTCAGCTATTAAGATAACTAAATCTAGGGTTTCTTAAAGGATGAAACTGCAGATGATTACAAAAAAGAAAACAAAAAAAAAGAAAATACAGGAAAAATGAAACTTTCTGCATTCTCTTCTTGAGTAGGTTGTTGAATATTTAGAAGGGAAGGTGAAATTTGAAGTAAAATCTAAAATATCAACATTTGGTTCAAGCAATTAAGTATCTCACATACTGAATCAGGACATTATGATCCTGTACACATAAAAACTGAGGCACAGAAAAAAGAAAACCCCCACTAGTAAGCTATATTCATTCACCCAGTTTCCACATCCACACATTAAGACAGAGCTGCCTTGACTCTTTTAGAAGAGATTGTGTGTGTAGCTTGAGGGTCACAGGTGTCATGCAGACCGCTCCTCACTGCTTACCACAGAACTCAGGTTATATCCCTTCTTATTGAGGCTTCCCTTCCTTCTCTCACCACATCTCATAATATTGGTCACCATCATCTGATGGAGATATTTATAACTGTAAGGAATCGGTGTATTCATGGGACAATGCAAGGGCTTTTCTCAAGCACTCTCTACAGAAGCTGTCAGTCATTTCTCTGATTTTTTTGTATATGTGTTTAAACATTAATGTAGATGATTAAAATTCTAAAGAAAGAATTCCCTTTGCTTGAATTGCCATGAAAGATGAGGTAAAAAAAAGAAAATTCCGAACTGCTTATTCAAAACTGTGACTGTGTTGTTCATTATAAATATTTAACAAATAATAAATAAAAAAGAGAAATCAAGAAAATGTGCAGGGTAGTGGTTGCTGGTCTGTATTTGACTCTTAACTTTATTTTTAATTTTTGTTAATACAACTCAATTTGTCTTATATATTTTAAGTCTTAAGCCACAGTAACCTACTAATATAAGAATACTGTTATCTTAGGATATGAATTAAACCAGAATTTCATTATCATGTAATTTTCTTTTTAAGTCATCACAACATTTTTGCATTTTCCTATTTAGATTTTAAATGTTTAATCAAAATAATCATGGTCTGTGAATGGTTACATAGAGGCACTGGCCAAGATACCATGATAAAATTCTCTCTGAACGTCTAAGAGTAGTATTTCTCAAACTGGGCTTCAGCTGTCTACAACTTGTCACTTGCAAGTTACTGAATTTGAGAAACACTGATTCAAGCTTGGTCTGCAGAATCTCATTTCATTAACAGGGCAAACTTTGGAATCCCCAAACAGTCGCAACATCTGTTTGTTCTGTTTTCAGCTGCCAGTCACTCAGAACCTGAATTCTTGGTTTATTCCTCCAATGCCCATTTCAGATCCTGGATCATATCTAGTGAAATCATTGATTGCGTACTCATTCTGATTAATGATCAAGTCCACCCAGCACTTGGTCCTAGTAAGAGTCCCTGTGATCAAATATGGGAATCTGATTCATGTTTCCATTTAGTACAACCTGTTCCTCTGCTCTGCAATATTTTTTTTAATACATGAAACTAATCTTTTTTCTCTGAGTTTCGTATATATAGATTTATGCTCAATATAACAGTTTAATCTGAATTTTATACAGAATAAATTAAGGTGTAATGAGAAAATGCACCCAAGAGGTTAAGAAAAGAGACAGAGATACCATTAAGTTTGCTTCTGCACTCTGTATGGGAGTGGTCATGTTGCCTCATATTTATAAACCATAATTTTCTCTACTGTAAATATATTCCTTAGTTTCCATTGGTTTGTTATGATAAATAAGAGAATAGATGAACAAATATGCTATAATTTTCATGACATAAGTATGGGACAAGTTTATTAATTTATGTATGTCTTTGACACCATTGCCTGTTTAGTGTCACGCATAAATATGGTTAGTAAATATTTCTTAAATTTTCTAAACATTTCATAGGAAAACATATGTAAATACTTCTCCTAGTGTCTGGTCCTATTAAAAATTCAAAGGTAGATGAGAATTCAAAATATGACTGATATAGCTAGTTTTGCATAATTCAATTAGAAGAGTGAGAATCCTGTGAAATCATAATTCTTTGTGAAACTTAAGACACTGAAGTAGAAGCCTAGCCCAAAATTCTAACAAGAACAACCTGTTAGGGAAGTTTATATGAACTCATCTGTTTTTTCTTTGTGTGTATATCCGGAGTCGGAGTACAAACACAGAGGTGATGCTCGGTTCCCATCTCTTTGCATCAGCTAGTAAACAGTGGTCACAGCCAAGAAAGTTTATTGGAGTCTAAAACTACAAATGGAGACTTTGCATCTCTCTCATTGCCATCTTGAGATTTACAAAGAATGATATGCAAACAGGCAAAAAAGTGCTATGGAACCACGAAGAAACTTATTTCCAGAGCAGCAGGCTAGGTGTAGTGGTTGGATGCCTGAGCAATGCTCAGTCTAGCACTTTGTTCATGTTCTCTGTGAGTTAGATAGAGTGCAAGCCTCAGAGAGTTGATACTAAACATGTTTTAGAAATTAGCAAAAGTTGCGTGTAATGCCTTCAAATGTGTTATTTCAATGTATTTCTGAGAAGCATGAAGATGTTTTAGCTATAATAGGTACCTCCAGCAGATGTATGTTCAAAATTTCTCATTGAATAAGCTTATGAGGGCCTAGAACTTCTGCTTCAGGTTAAGAAATACTGAAATTAGTATTAATCAAGTATGCGTAGCCTCTCCATCCCAAGTAGCAAGTGCAACATCTCTGAGTCAAAGGAGAGAATGAGGAGAAAGTATGACGCACCTACAGACTGAAGCAGACCGAGGAGACTGGGTTAGCCTCAGGCTCCACTAATTTCCAGCAAGTATATCTCCTTTGATCTCTTTGGCCCACAGTGCTACTTATTTTCTCTGACTTACCAAGGGCTTGGTTTCATCTTCATCCTTGAAATAATAGAGCTGATCTCCCTTGAGCACAAACCAGCGGGTATGCCAAGTCTTCACAAAGCCTCCTTGCTTTCTGAGCCACCCACACTTCATGGCATTTTGCCGCCCTTGGCCTTGCTGGGGATTCTCTGTGGAGTCATTGTTGTCCTCCATGATCAAGCTGATGGACTTTCCTATTTAGCACACAAAAAGAGGGAGAAATATTAAGATGCTTTGCTACAGTCAATTACGTTTTAAACACCACCATTTAAAAAAAAAAAAGCAGAGGTATGGGGAGCAAAGAAAAGAGGATATATTTGTGAACAAGTTCATTGGCTGTATTTTTGGAAGCTACAACAACAGCAGTGTGCCAGAGGAAATCTGGAGAGAGCTTTTTATTCTTCAATGAGCTTAGCATCTGTGTGATGATAATTTTCTTTTTCTTTTTTTAACCCTATGTACAATTGAAAAATGGGAATGATTTCAAGGTACTGTGTCAAAAAGCAATTTTTGACAAAATAAGTGATCAATGAAAGCAAGGTTTTGAAATTAAATGGCCTCTCTGTCTGGTGTGCACTGACTGAGCAAGCACCACACCAAACACACGGTCAAGTAGAAAGTTTCTTCACTGTCAAGGTTTACTGAAAATTAGAAAGTAAAGTCTGCTTCACCACTTACTTACCCCTCTACCCCCACCCATATTCACCATGAAACTTCAGGCATTGTTGCATATCTCAGTAAATGCCAAGAGAAACAAATTTTGTAATGATCTGTAAAGGAATATAAAACCCCCACACCTTCCATATACAACGCGCAGAAGTTCATCATCAGGAAAACATCATTAGAAAAATATTAAACAACAGGTGAGATGCTCACTGGATGACCAAATATGAACAGAGGAAATCAGCTTCCTGGGAGAGACACAGATACAGGACTAAGAAATGAAAGAGCTCTTCCTCTTGCAAATGCTTCCTCCAAATTTTTTCTCTTATTTATTTTTTTAATATATTTTTATTTTGAACTATGTGGTACAATTTTGTATAGGCTGGGATTCCCCCCGCAAAACTCCCACCCCATCAGATTTTTCCCATTTTGTTACAATAGTATAGTTCTTAAGGCATCATAATTCTACCAGTCTCTTATTTAAGTGTACCTCAACATTGTTGGTACAAACAATGTCAAACAGTCCAGCATCCCATTGTCTCCACATGTCCAACAGTTTCATTGGGAATTCATCTTTCACCTGGATGTAGGGATGCATGTTCCATTATACCCCCATGTCTCATACTTATTTCTAAGGATGTATTCAGCTATTGAAAAACCTACACTCACCCTTGTGTTTGAGACAAGGATATGTAGATATATAGCAACAATAAAGAATAGACTATTCTTGTTCAGACACATTCAGGCACAAAGCTCTATTGCATAAATCTGATTGATTCTAGAGGACGAGCTGTCTTCTATCTGCTCTTTATTCTCACCACTGAATTTTCAATCAGTTTGTAAATACACAATCCTACTTATGAATTCTATGATGCTTCAATTCCTCAGTCTATTTGTTTTTGCTTTCTTTTAAAATTGAGTTTGTAATGGTCAAACTTCCAAGGTATAATCTACAAATTTAGTTTCCCATCCCAATTGCAGAAATACAGTAGAACTTTGAGTTCAATTACTTACTCTGATCATATACACAATCTTTTCAGTAGTTTACTATTCTCACTTGAATACAACATATGTATCACCCTTCCTGCTTTAATTGCCATTTTTTAGAACTTTTAAGTCTCAGCATCTAAGTTTCAATATTACTTCTCATTCAATACCCATTCCCCTCTGTGCTTATATTGAAATGCATGTCTAATTAATGGAGCTCTATAAAACATACTCATATGTCATTTGTTCCAAGTGGCATTCCCATGATGGTAACTTCTTACTGCAGAATACACTCTCCTTTCCCGAGCCAGCACACATGAGTGTAGACTGCATCACAAAGAATGCCTCCAGTTTATTATACTTCTAGGGTAGGAACTTTCATCTCCTTCCTTTTACAGCACTTGACCCCCTATAAAGAGTTAAGTAAACCCCACTCTAATTGAACAGTAAATGGCATAACATAACTTAGGTAATAACCTTATTTAGCTAACCCTAAACAGTCTTCTTGTTTCCTGGTATTTAAGTTGCTCATATTTATATAATTTCCTATCTCATAACCACCCATATCATATTTGATCTACCATGTAACTTAAATAGAACCTGAAAACAAATATTCCAAAACACACCTGCAAATAAATGCATTCTGCAACAAGAAGTGAATTCTCTTAGGTCCAATTTTCCTTCCTTTTCTCTCAGATTTATGTTTTTCTATTAGATTTGAAACAAAATCATTTCTAAAGTGTTGTGAAGTAATTAGCAACCTACTATCAATAATACTAAAATAGAAATAATCAATTATTTTTGTACATTACTGATACCCAGGTAAAATATGCATGTAAATTAGAGCATATTTTATGATTCTTCCCACATGTTGTTTATAAGCCTGGCTGAAACACAGTGAGCACTTAGTTATGCCTGTATTTTTATAACTTCAAATACACCAGAAAATATTATACTAATACTAATTGTAACAGCTCAGTAAAGCAGAAAAGAAATAGATTTTTCATTTGTATGGGAAAATAATGCTTCAGCTATTGTTGAATAAGTTAAATCATTTTATTAAAGTAATGGTGATTTTTTTTATAAAGAAATCTTGCTATATTTGGATAAAAATTCTATCCTTCCTTTCTAGGATGAGGATGATGTTGAATTGGGTTATTTCTAATTACAGCCCCTCTTTGCCCTCTGAAATCCTGTGATTCCAGAGTATAGGGAGACCAGATAGCCTCAATACTTAGTATAATATCTGCCACATAGTGGCATTTAATCAATGTTTGATGAACGGATCAATTTTGCAATAGGTTTCATATTGTGTTTAAAAGTAAACATGATCACTCTCTGAACTGATCTTTAACACCTGATCTTGTAAATGACACCATGATTTACCTCGTTTTAAAAAAAGTGATCATTTAATTCATGACTTTGCCTCACTGTGAATATAAATCAATCAGTTAAGTCCACTAGACAATTCATCTCAAAAAGACATCCCAAACCTCTTCACTTGGTTTTATCTATACTGCTGCCCTAGAGTGCAGGCCACCATCGGGTTTTTTGACAGTTATTTTACTTTATTATTGTTATTATTATTTACTTGACAGATAATGAGACAGAGCTTCTCTTTGCTAATTATCTCCCTAAAGGCTACAATGGCTGAAATTGGGCTGCGGCCAAAACTGGAAGTCAGAAACTCAATCCAGATTTACCATATGGATGGCAAGAACCCAAAAACTTGAACCACTGCTGCTACCTCCTACAGCTTGCATTAGTAGGAGCCTGGAGTCACAAACTAGAGCCAGATATCAAACCCAGGGACTGTGTCCATTGCAGGATGCAGACATCCTAACGGGGAGGTTAAATACATGCCCCGTCATAATCTTTTGATTAGATGATTTTTCACAGCCTTCCAATTGATCTCATTCCTTGCATTTTTAACCACAAACACAAACACTTTGGTACATGCTCACACATACTTCATTCTCCATTTTGTAGCCAAAATGAACCTTTAAAAATGCAAATCAGATAATGAGGCTTACCCTAAAAATTTTTATTGGTTTCCCACTGTACTTATGCCAAATTTCAGTCTTAACATGACCTTCCAGGCTCTGACTCAACTCGGGCTTGACTTACTCTCCAAAATAATTTCATGCTACCTCCTGCTCCTCCATCACCACACCTCACACATATTCAACCCTATTGGGCACATTTTAGCTCTTGAAATATTCAAGTTATTATATGCCTCAAGGATTAATATTTGCTCATCTCTACCTAGAATACTATGCTTAGGTTCTTGGCATAGTCAATGCCTTTTCCTCTAATTCCCAGGTTAAAATCTAAATGTTTTGTCAACAAGCCTTCACCAAGCATCCCATTCCCATGAATTAGTTTATCTCTTTTTCGTCATCATTGAGCTCTCTTTTCTCTGTTTCCATGTTATTTTTTTATCATTCTTTCTCCCTCCTTCCCTTCCTTTTCTCACTTCCTCCATCTCTCCCTACCTCCTTCTCTCCCTCACACTTCCTCCTCTGTCTCTCTGTCTCTCTCTTTTCTGTTTTGTGTTCTTCATATCACCAGGACAGCATAAGCTTCATGAAGTCTTAGGGATGGTTTTACTCAATACACCCAGTGCCTTTTAATACTGCTTACTTGTCCTCAGTAAACATTTGCTGCATCAATAAATGAAGCTATATAATAACCACACCAGAGAATACTAAAGGGCATTGCCATGTGGTGTTCACTGAACAACATGCTTGTGCCATTATTACAGTGCATCTGTTAATCCAAAGATTCATCTTCACTTATTTCTCAGAACATTTAATAGATACACAAATGTGTTTGATTTAGGAATTAACACTTTTAATACTGTAAGCATCTAAGTAATTTCAGGATAAAATACCATTAAAATACTTTTTTGTGGGTAATACGGACATGTGTATTTGAGTTCAGCTGCCCAGCCTCATATTTTAGTTCAGCTGTGAATTATTTTGGAGGAATGTGTGGGTACATTAGATTCTCAGAGTCACAGTGAATGCAAGATGGTTAATACAACTCACATCAGTTCTTATGTTACTGTGTTATTAATGCATCGACAGCAGATTCAATCTAATTCATAATTTAAAATCCTAGTAATTTAGTTATTTTTCCCTTCCATTTTGTTCTTATTAATTTTTAAGACAGCATATTTTAATTTACAGTATAGTCAGAGGGTTTATGCTCCATCAAATCAATAACTCGACAAGAAAAGCTTCCTAAGAGATTATAATTCAGCAGGAATACAGGCAAGGACTATAAACAATAACAAAGAGAAGATGATCATTTTACTCATGTACAGTAAATTTTAAACTCAACTATAGTAAGTTGGGGAATCATTTTCTCCACATGCTCACCAGATTCGTTCCTTTTTCTATTTTTGAATAACATACAATTTAACTGTGCTGAGGTGCACGCTCCTTGTATTTTCATTTGCATTTCCCTGATGGCTAGTGATCCTGAGCATTTTTTTTTCATTTATCTGTTGGCCATTTGTATTTTATCCGTTGAAAAATGC